ATTTTTGATACTATCGTTAATGCGAGGGTTTATGCCTGAGAGGCGTTCTATTCCTTGGGCTATGGACTGTGTAAATTTGTTCCGGATTTGACTGTTGCTGTTGTGTATCATGGAAAAAGGTTATTGTGGATCTTTGGAAGGTTATTGGCCCAGTAGGGTATGATCAGAATAGGTGTGAGGTCCCGTGTAACTTGTGGTTTTATGTGAGCAGGATGGCTCTCGAGATGCATGTCATTTATCGCACCTTAGTTATTCTTGGGTTTTATAGCGTATGGCATTATCCGTCTCACCAGGATTTGTATTATTCACTTGGTGTTCTTGTGGTCTATATTCAGGCATTTCGTAAGTATGAGCATTATGGCTTGATGTGTGTGCTTTCCTTCTTGATGTTATATGCGGATTGGGTGGCACGCCGCCACGAGTATATTGTCCGGATCGGGTGGCACGCTGCCACGGGCATGTTATGTGGATCGGGTTGCACACCGCAATAACGAGATGTTGATCATAGCTCCTTACACTCATTTTTTGTGCATTTTGATTCTCATACTCTGAGAAAGGCTCGTAACATCATTTCGGCCATTTTATTCGTTACGCGGGCTGGGTAGTCCTTTATATAGAGATCATTCTTCCTTATGTATCACATTCGAGTTGTAGCTTGTTAGCGCGTTGTGAGCGTCATTAAGATTTTTGGCAGTGTCCGGGATGTCTTATTGTCTGAGCAGCTTATACTAGGTGAGACGAGAGTATTAGACCTAAAATTTATGCAATCAGATTTATATAAGGTACATTAAAGAGAAAATATCATTATTCAGTTCAGAATGAGGTAATGGTTCTTGTCAGGAGGGGAGACTCCATGAATTATTGATTCGGCAGGTGGTTTTGAGTTTTTACATGTCTCTTTTGTCGTGGTAGTATTGCGAGAATTGAAACAGGACTTATATGTGTCATGAGATGTATTGCGGGCATCAGATTCGTGAAATTGTAGCTATTGTGGTCGGAGAATGTTATTATATGCAACCGACTTATAGGGTGCATGGTGTGATTTCAGCATAGATGCATGATCATGTTTTAGTACAATGTGTGGTGATTGGCACGGTGTTCGTGTGTTAGAATCAGGTCTTGTAAAGAAATTCGGAGGTTGGAATTTGGTTCTAAGGCTTATTGACTAAATAAAAGGGAGGACCTTCAGTTTGGCTCGAGCTAATATGCTCAGCTGGGTTGTAGTGGCACGGGCAGGTGCACGAGGTGTTAAACAGTGATTTTTGGATAACTTAGGAGCAGTCCTTAGCACGTTCGAGGACGAACGTATGTTTAAGTGGGGAGAATGTAACGACCCGACCAGTCGTTTTGACCTCTAGCGCATTGTTAAGCGGTTTAAGGCCTTGAGTAGCTTCACTTCAGGCATTATGACTTGTACGCGTGGTAATTGAATTTCAGGAAGTTCGGAGTTGATTTGGAAAAAAATTCTAATTTCGGAAGCTTTAAGTTGGAAGAATTGACTAAGATATAACTTTTGAGTAAATGACCTCGGAATCGTTATTTGAAGGTTCCAATTGGTTCGTATAATGATTTTGGACTTGGGCATATGTTCGGGTTGAATATCGGATCACCTGGGAGCATTTCAGCGCTTATTATGGAAGGTTGGTATTTTCAAAGTTTAAGAAATTCTTAAGTTTGACTTGAAGTGGATTTTAATGTTATCGATATTCGTTTGGGATTCCGAGCCTTGGAATAGCTTTGCCATGTCATATATGACTTGTGTGCAAAATTTGATGTCAATCGGACTTGATTTGATATGTTTCGGCACAAGATATAGAATTTGGAAAGTTGGAAATTTATAAGTTTGATTCGAGGTGCGATTCATGATTTTGATGTGATTTGACGTAATTTAAGGCTTCGACTAAGTTCGTATTGTATTTTGGGACGTGTTGGTATATTTGGTTAAGATTCTGTGGGCCTCGGGTAGATTTCGGATGGTTAACGGATTGAATTTGGCCTTATGAAATTTGCTGGCGGCAGCACATATGGTGTAACCGCACCTGCGAGGTTTTGGCCGCAGGTGCGGAGCCGCAGAGCGGGCCTGGGCTAGGTAGAGGAAGGGCTGCAGATGCGGAGTTAGGGCGCATATGCGCATCCATAGAAGTGGATAAGGCATCGCATAAGTGGGGCTAGGCCTTTGGTGCTGGACCGCAGGAGCGATCAAGGCTCCGCAGAAGCGAGACCGCAGGAGCGGTCAGGGCGCTGCAAAAGCGTGACCACAGGAGTGGGTTTCTGTCCGCATAAGTGGACTTGTCTGGTCTTAATGGAAAGCCGCACCTGCGATGAGAATGTCCGGAGGTGCGAAGCCGCAAAACCGGCTAATAGGCCGCAGAAGCGGAAGGTCGTCTGGGCATAAGTCTTTTATAAAAACGGGATTTGGCCCATTTTATTCCACTTTTCACTTGGTTGAGGCGATTTTGGAGAGCTTCAATGGGATATTTTCATCAAGCAACATAAGGTAAATGGTTCCCACCTATTATAAGTTAAATACATAGTTTGTATGTGGATTAGAGCATAGAAATTAGTAGAAATTATGAAATTTTGGTAGAAAACCTAGAATTGATATTTTTGGATTTTAAGCACGAATTTGTACATGGAATTTGGGTAAGTTATATATTTGAGTTCATGGCGTTATGGGTAAAGTTTATCTTTAAAAGTTTTTGAAATCTGGGTACGTGGGCCCGAGGGTTAATTTTATAGATTTTTCGAGCAGAGTTGGAAATTATTATAAATTGATCAATTATGGTACTAGAGTATATTTGATTGGTTTGCACATTTGTTTGAATAGTTTTGGATCGATAGGCATCGGTTTGAGGTGTTAGAGAGGCTTTGGACCTGGTTATGGAACTTCTGAGCGAGGTAAGTCTCCTGTCAAACTCTGTGAGGGGGAAAGTGCCCCTAGGTAATAATTATTTTTATGTGCAACTAGTTGTGGGTGCTACGTACGCACGAGGTAACGAGAGTCCGTACGTAGCTAAAGCATGTCTATGTCTGGGTAGATTTAGGACGGGTCCTAATTGAATTATTTTAATCCATCACTACCCGCCATCACTACCTTTGGTGATTTTGGGTCATAACAAATTCCCTCAACAAAGTTTGGCAAAACACTTACCTCAATTCGGCCAACTAAATACTCAATTTAGCTTCTTCCCTTAGAAATTCAACTCCGCCCGACCCAAATCTAGCCTAAGACGACTTAAATACATCACACAATGCAAGAGAAAATAATTTCAATTAATAAAGCTATGACCTTTATACAATTTTCAAAAAGTCAACAAAAGTCAACCCCGGGCTCGCCCGGTCCAAACCCGGGTCCAAGGGTAGTTCTTGACTACCCATAGTCCCACGAGTCCATATACGTATTTTATTTCCAAATTCGAGTCCTATTCGACTATGAAATCCCAATATTTCATTTTTTTTCAAAACTTTGACAAAATTCCCCAAATTCTTCCCTAGATTCTCACGAATATGATGTTAAACCTTATGTAAAATCACGAAATATAATTGAAGGTTGATTAAAATTATTTACCCGATAGTTTGGAATGAACATCCTTCTACAAAATCGCCTCCCATCGAGGCTAGGGTTAAAAAATATAACAAAATGAAGCTAAGTCTCGAAATTACTCCGCTATATGCAGGCTGCAGATGTCGTATTTGCGACATGGGATTCGCAAATGCGAACCCTGCAAAAGCGAAGAACCCCTCGCAAAAGAGAAGCTTGAAAATTTCTGCTGCCTTCGCAAATGCGACCAAAAAGGTCGCAAATGCGAACACTGGTCTATCGCAAAAGCGACCAGTTGGTCGCAAAAGTTAACCTACCCAGCCCAGGCCTTTATCGCAAATGCGAGACAGAGTCCGCAAATGTGAACTCAAAAGGCTTCGCAAAAGCAACATTTCTTGACAAATGCGAGTCCCTTCCCCAGCAGCCCAGGCTCGCAAATACGAAGTAGACTCCGCAAATGCGATAGTCACATTTGCGACAAAAACATCGCAAATGCGATGAAACCAGTACCAGCACTCAAAAATCATAAAAATCATTCCGAAACCATTCCGAAACTCACCCGAGCCCCCGAGGCTCCAAACCAAACACCCACTCCTGTCCAAAAACACAACAAGAACTCGCTCGCGCGATCAAAATACCAAAATAACCTCTAAAAGCACGAATCGGATGCCAATACACATGAAGATCACAATAAACTTCAAAGACTTCTAGAATCGCAACCAAGCGTCCGAACGATATCAAATCAACTCTAAATGACGCCAAATTTTTTCAGGTAAGTTCCATATGACAAAACTGACATACTCAAGGCTTCAAATCACGCAAAACAATCTCGAAACGATGAATCACACCTGAAATCAAAATCAATGAACTTTGAACTTTGAACTTTTAACTTTTAAAAGTCGCATCGAAACATATCAAATCAACCCGGAATAAACTCAAATTTTGCACGCAAGTCCCAAATGACATATCAAAGCTATTCCAATTCCCGGAACTACAATCCAAATCCAATATCCTCAAAGTCAACTTCCGGTCAAACTTATAAACTTTCCAAACCTTTAAATTTCCAACATTCGCCAATTAGTACCGAATCCTTCTAGAAATATCCAAATGCAAATCCGGGCGTACGCCCAAGTCCAAAATCACCATCCGGACATAACGGAACCATCAAAACTCTAATCCGAGGTCAAATGCTAAAAGGTCAAATTTGGTCAACTCTTCCAACTTAAAGCTTCAATCTTGAAGTTCATTCTTCCAAATCGATTCTGTATAACTTGAAAACCAAACCGACGATTCACAAATAAACTTATTAGCCAGGTAATTTATTTCCCTAACTCATATAGTAGTGGCAATTAGATATTAGCGAGGAATTAATACCTTTTCACTGGTAATTAAAGAGAATGGCTACCAAATACGGTGCTCCCAATAATTAAATTCTAACTTTTCCTAATTTTATCTTCCCTCCAACCTTTTATTTATTCTCTCCCTCTCCCATTTCCTCCTTGTTACCTAGAACAGAACCCCAATCAAACCATTTCCCAACTGAAGATTATCCTAATCATCGGCAGCGCCAACACCGGCCACCGTCACCAGGTAATCAGACTCATCTCTCTCTCTATATATATAAATATCCTATTTATTCTCCATCTGCTTCAACTTTTCTTCGTTGTTGATGACTCTCTTTCTATCTCTAGAATATGAACCTCTTAACTCTCAACCTTGTCTCTCGTCAGTATTCGCCGTTGCCAGCATCGCTACATACTCAAGACTTAGGTTTGCTTTTTTCTGTTTTTTTGTCTATTTTAGTTTTTAGCATCTTTTCATTGATTTCTACTTTTAGTAAATATTCTATGCGTCTAGCGATTTGCGTAAAATTTTGTTCAGTTTCTTTGGTAATTCCTATAATACAATAACCACTCCAGTAAGCACATAGGTGTATGTTATGTCGTTAAGATGGATTATTTTGCATCTCCCCGTGCCTTTGATTAATTTAGTGGAGTGAGGGTTAGAATATTGTGCTATTTTTCTAGAAAGAAGATCTACAACTACATCTCCGTCCCAAACAAGTAAAAATTAAAATCCTATTTGTGTAATAAGTGAGAGACTACTGGTTATTGCTCATTCGGCAGCAATTGTTATTTTGTGGCAGTTACAAATTTAAGTTTTAACTGATTTATGATTTAGGGAGATACGATGTCAATGTGTACTATGAGAATGGTGAAGATTGATGATATGATTGATTTTGGCTTGTTGAAATATTGATTCATAGTCATTTTGATCGATCAGTTGCAAGTGGGCTATATACGTTGAAATACCATGGCAACATGTGTGGATTCACATTACGGTAATCTAGTTTTACTTCACTTGTGATAGTGCACGCTAAATTACCTTCTTGTTTGATTTGTAGGACCATATTGCTTTAGAAAAATATTTACCAGTCTTCCGTAGCAGTTTCTTGGCTAGTTTTCCATGAGCGATACACAAAAGGGGTTGACCAAATACTTAGATATATGAGCTTTTGATTTTGTAATGCAATCTTCTATTTTTCGTTCCTTTGATACTTCGCTTTCAATAAACAAGATAAACGATATGAGAAGGAGAGAACCTATCATTGTGTCTGGTTTTTCCAAAGAATACGAGGCAAAGGAGAGAGATTCAGTGCACGCGTTTAGCTATTTCATCCCTAACAATTGTTAATTGTGGTGCGTGCTCTGCGATTATTGTAATGATATTGTCTATGCTATTATGTCCTACTTGACTTGCGACCAGCTTATATGGTCTTTGTAGATCAAGGGAGATAGTTGATTTCAGATTATCATAGGCCCTAACATGGGTGGGAAGTCAACCTGCATATGTCAGGTGTGAGTTTTCTAAAAATTTGTCCTTTTTTATATTTGTTGTTGTTGTTGTCTCTTTGGCTTTTTACATTTATCTCAGCAGGTCTCCATTCAAATGTTGTTTTTGAATATTTGTACTTGATGGAATTAATTGATTAAAGCTAACAGAGAAGTTGTAATAGCATTAGCATGATGAAGAATCATAGGGTAACACAACTGTTAGAAAAAAAGAATCAAAGCGTAAAACATAGTCTTCAACTGTTTCTAATGCCTTCTGCTTTATTTGAGTTTGAATGATGATTATATCAACATGTTCTTTCCAAGAGATATAAATCAGATATTTCATATTTCTATTCCTTTACTTGTGGAGTGCATGAATAAATTTGGCGCTATACTAATTCAACTTAATAACACCATTAACTGGGGCAATGCCATTGAGAGACAAATGTTCATTGGTTGTGCCACAGTTCAGATTTTAAAACATGAGTGTAACTCTAAAAATATGTTGCAACCTGCTTGAAAAGGTTGTGGAAGTTTAGGTGAAAATTAAAGTTAGACATTTTCCAACAAAATGGAATTTGCTGTTTGAATGAATGCAATTGTTTGGGAGTTGTTTTTTATTGGAACTATGAGTTCGCTATTTTTGTCGTTTTACAAATATAAAACCTTGGTGATGAAGTAAAATCTGTTATGCTTTGATATTAGCAACGGAAAGCATTCGCTAATATTAGCATCATAACCTTAGAAAAGAATTTATGTGGTTGATTTGTACTTGAAGATCATTTAAGATATCTACAAAATGAGGAGGATCTTTACACTGATCTTCTAGGAGAATGGAGATATATGTCTAACTATATCTAATACCATAACTAGGATGAGTATTAGTGTGTAGTTTATGACTTCAACTCATATTTTTCACACTTTAATCTATCTGTTCAACATGTGAACATTTATTAGGCCCATGATGCCAACAGTGGCCATGAACGAGTACCCAAGCATCATGATGTTGTTTAAGTGGTAATATTGCTGAAATTACGCTATCTTCTCACGATTTTGTGCTTGTTTTAGAATACATTAACATATTACTTATTTTTTGAATTATGCTCAATATGTTGCGGATGGCGTTGTGCATCAGTTTATTTGTTTATCGAGTCACCAATTGTCACGATCCAACACTCTAACCTGTCGTGATGGCGCCTATCGATGGTACTAGGCAAGCCGACCTTTCAAAATACTTCAACATTTCATAAAAAGGATAATTCAAAGCTTTTTCATACTAGAAAGTTTTACAAAAAAAAAACCGGAGTTGAATTCAAAATAAAATGCGAAAAGATAGCCCCAAACATCGGGGTGTCACCAAGTCATGAGCATCTAGATATCCAGTCTAATAAAAACAGTGTCTCAAGTATCAATATAGGAAAGAAAGAAAACATAGAAGGAGAGACAAGATCTGCGGACGCCGACAGCTACATCGTAGTCTCCGGTACTCAATCGCGCACGAACTCAACGACCTCCGTGATCAAACAAACCTGGATCTGCACATGAAGTGCATGGTGTAGCATGAGTAAAACCAACTCAGCACGTAACATAAATAAATAAGGAACTGAGAAGGTAGTGACGAACTATACAAATACAATTCATTTTCAATAATTCCAGCAAAGAATAGACATGCTTTCGAATCCGGCAGTTCAAATCAAATTAGTTTTATACAGTTACAGTGCAGGTAAATCCGGATATAGAATCTTTCAGAAATTTCATGACAATGACAGATAGCAACTAAGTGCATCAACAAATGAAAAAGCAAGTACAGCCTCTCAGGGAAACAGTCACTCAACTCGTCACAATAGCTCAATCACTCGGCTCTCAGCCCTCAGTACTCACACTCAATAGGTACCTGCGCTCACTGGAGTTTGCAGATTCCGGAGGGGCTCCTTTCAGCCCAAGCGTTATATCCGCACGGACAACTCACATGCTGCACGGACAACTCATGTGCTATAGTATCAATATGTGAAACCGCACGGACAACTCACGTGCCACAATATCAATATATGGAACCACACGGAGAACTCACGTGTTGCACGGACAACTCACGTGCCATAGTATCAATAACTCACAGACAGGCCCTCGGCCTCACTCAGTCATCAACCTCTCTAATCTCTCGGGCTCTCGAAAATCAGAAAGATCGGCCTAAACAAAGATTACACAGTGTATCAATAAGAATCAAGAAGAGGCTGAGATATGATACGCAAGTAAAACCATGACTGAGTACAAGACAACAATCAACAAGTAATTCAACAAGTACGCGACCTCTGCGGGTCCCAACAGTACCATCACATAGCCTAAGCATGATTTCTAATATGATTTGTAGCCAAATTTCTATAACACAGGGAGAGCATATAGCTAGCAACAAGTTATTCAACTTTACAGTTTCACGGAATGGACTAAGTCCCAATTCCTACGGTGCACGCCCACACGCCCGTTACCTAACATGTGTGTCACCTCCAAAATACTCATATAATCCAATAATCCGGGATTTCATACCCTCAAGACTAGATTTAAAACTGTTACTTACCTCAAACCTCGCAAAATCCTACTCCGCAATGACTTTGCCCCTCGAATCAATCTCCAAACGCTCAGAATCTAGCCACAAGCAGTACGATATAATTAATATAGGCTAAAAGAATTAATTCCATAAGAAAAACATGAAATTATAAGCCAAAATACGAAATCGGCTCCAACCCGACCCTCGGGCCCACGTCTCGAAATCCGATAAAAGCCACAAAACCCGAAAGCCCATTCATTCACGAGTCTAACCATATTAAATTCATCAAAATCCGACATCATTTGGTCCTCCAAATCCCTAAAATTCATTCTCTAATTTTCAAGCCCTAAACCCCCAAATTTCACTTCAAAATCTCGCTAATTAGGTGGGGAAATCAGTAGGGAATCAAGATTTATGATAAAAAATGAGTACAAGAAGCGTACCTCAATAATCCCCTCGAAAATCTTCTCACAAATCGCCTAAGTCCAAGTCTAAAATGGTAAAATAAGACTAAAATCGCGAACCCTTACTTTTTAAACCTTCTGCCCAGACTTTTCGCATATGCAGACCCATTGTCGCATTTGCGACGCCGCACCTGCGGAAAATCCATCGCAGGTGTGGATTTCACTTAAAATCCCAGATTCCGCTCCTGCGGCTTCAAGACCGCATCTGCGCCTATCGCAGGTGCGGAAACCTATCGCATCTGCGGCTAAAACTCGCACCTGCGCACAGCTGCCCGCTTTTGCGACTATCGCAGGTGCGGAAAAATCTTCGCACATACAGCTTCTGCTCAACTCCTCCTTGGCCGCTTATACGGTCGCATCGTCGCTTCTGTGAGCTTGCACCTGCTGTTCTCACTCCGCAGGTGCGATTACACCAGCAACAACAGCACTTCAGCTGTCCCTTTCAAATCCAAACCAAGTCCGAAACCTCAGATTTTGCACACAAGTCATATTCAACATTACGGACCTATTCTAACTTTCGGAATCGGAATCCGACCCCGATATCAAAAAGTCATCCCCCGGTCAAACTTTTCAAAAATTCGACTTTCGCCATTTCAAGCCTAAATTAGCTGCAGACCTCAAATTCACAGTCCGGACATGCTCCGAAATCCAAAATCACCCAACGGAGCTAATGGAACCGACAGAACTCTATTCCGGAGTCGTCTTCACACACTTCTGACTACGGTAAAAATCCTGAGACTTAAGCTTTCGTTTTAGGGACTAAGTGTCCCAAAATACTCCGAAACCAAAAACAAGACCTCCCGGCAAGTCACATAAGCAAAAACAGATACGGGAAAAATAATAAATAGAAAATCGGGATTAATACACTCAAAATGACCGGCCGAATCGTCACAGTAGTCCAATTTAAATTTGTGATCTAACAGCTTTGCACCAGTTGCATATGATGGTGACAAACAACTTTTCAATTATTTGATTTGTTCCTACGTGTAGATAACTTATGTATGTGTGTTACCGATATCTATTTTCTCTTCTTGGATGTTGATGGAGCTTTTAACTAATATTATTTTAGAGATATCTGATGTTGGGATGTGCTTTCTAGATAGAATAGTAGTTATAAACAGGTTGAAAATTTATTGATTCTGCCGAAAATTTTAAGAATTTGAAGAGTTAGTAAAATTTTGAGTCTGACAAATTTCAAAGTTATTAGATGCAGAAGTATAATTTTTGCGCTAAGTTTCATCTTTTAACATTCACTCATTTTATTATTTCAGGTCATACCTTATGATGTTTGAAATTTTAGCATATGAAGATTTCAATATGATGAAAAGTTGCAAGAATTATTTGAGGGTTGTGCATCTAGAAATTTGTTGTTGCTAATATTCAATAGGAGTAGTTACGATGCCATTAGCCATTTAGTTTAAACATGTAGTTTCATCATTTAGCTCGTTGATACATTTGTATATGAATTAGTGCCTACTTTTGTTAGATTTAATGAAATATATACCATATTTTATGATAATAATATATTATATTTTAGTAGCATTTTCCATTATAATTGTATTATGTATAATTAATATTTATTATTGTACCTTTCATTTACTGTCTTAATTGGATTTATCAGCAATAAAAATGGACTTTAAAAGAGCAAAAGAAGATATTTCTTAATGAATTTAGCGGCCACTATAATTGCCGCTAAACAATAGACGTTAACGGGGGTAACAGTTAGCGACAATTTTAATTGGATTTAGCGGCAATAAAAATAGACTTTAAAGGATAGGCTGAACCATTTTGGGAATAGATTTAGCAGCCATTATAATTGCTGCTAATCAGTTGCCGTTAAAAGCATATGGATTTTAGCGGCAAAAAAGCTACCTTTACCGGCACTTTTCTGAATCGCCGCTAAAATCATTAGCGACCCCATGTTCAGCAACCAAAACTTATTGGCTGGTATATTTTTTAGCGGCAATAACAATTGCCACTAAAGGCATTTGTAATTGCCGCTAAAAGCTATTTTTGTAGTAGTGACATCATGCGGAGATACTCGTGCCCTCAAACTATCGAGCGAAGTGCAAATGCTTAAAACAACCAGTCGGGTCGTTACAAGCTTATCAGGATGCATAAATCTCTCAACAACGCAAAGTAACCTTATCATAATATAACTACAATATCTACCGAATCTTTCTTTATACTTGTAATGACCCGGCCGGTTATTTTGAGTATTTTAGCCCTGGTCCTCTATTTATTGACTCTTCTATGTTATATTGCAGTTATGTGACTTGCCGGAGCATTTGATTTTGGTTTCGGGTGAGTTTCAGAGGGAAATGAGACATATAGTCCCCAAGATGGAGAC